TTCTTTATTGGTAATGTTTTCTAGTCAGGCACTAGGAAATGGTTGATTCTTGACAGCACAGACTATGTTTGGACATAGTTTTATGGCAAGTGGCAAAATGCACCTGTTCAGAGAAGCATAAATAACTGTATTCCAAGACTGAATGTCATGCAAACAAGAGAGAAAACACTTGGAATACCTAAGTTTCCTATTATATAGCTAAATGCTGGCTTTATTTCAAAGCTTTTGAAAGTCATGTTTGTTACTTTTAATGTTTTAAAACTTCATCTTTTTTATATTCCTCAGCAATAACAGTTGCATGATGACATAACCTGTTTCAACAGGCAAGGCAAAATGCAACTTCAAGTTTTCTGGACCATGTCACACCACGCATCCTACTGCAGCTCTGTAAGTTGAATGGACAGGATAAATAGGTTTGCATTTCAAAGCCTGCATTATGACTTTGCTAAAAGACCAATATTCTTGAGAGAATTTAATTATCCTTTTTCTATTTTGAAGAAATTATTTATTGGCTTTGAGATGGATTACATATATGAAGAATTACAATGCTTATAATTATTCAGGGAATATATTACTAATAACACAACAGGTGAAATAGGAACCATGCTCAAATAACCAGCTTTTCTCTGAAAGGTAGTATTGATCAGATTGCCCCCACTGTTCTTTTACTATAACAATTAAAAGTCGTAGAGGTACCCAGGATCCCTGGATGGAAAAGCAAGAAAAAAACGTAAGAAAATTCATAGAAATAAGTCGATTTCAGAGAAAGCATTTTTTGGTTTTCTGTTTTGCCTGTGTTTGTTTGAGAAATTCATATGATCTTCATGCCATAAAAAGTATTTTTGATAGTTCTATTGACAATAATTATCTAGTCACATCTGCTCTCAAATGCATGCATGTTCAATGTTTAAACTATCTCAATATTAAAAATAAATGTAATACTCCTAATCAAGCATCTGCATATTTAATACCCTGTTTTGGTTTCTTAATAAATTTTATTAGCTCTAATGTTTCAACATGGAGGCACTCTACTTTCAGAGTGATTCAGAATGCAGATCGCATTAAAAGAGTAAATCTGATCCATTTCTGGGAAACAACAACTAAAAGCACATTCTGGGAGAGATTAATGCCTCTCAGGAATGGAGATGAGAAAACGTGTTTATGCTGTCAGGCTCTGGTCTTTGCTGGGAGGCTGTGTTCTAGGCTGTGACTTCCCAGCTGAGACTGTCACCAGCTGTACCAGCTGTCCTCCAGGAAGTGGAAGTGTTAGCTGGACCTTGGAGAGTGTCAGAAAAAACCTCTTGGGAGCAGAGCAGGGTATAGTTGTATTGCCAGGCTCCAGGTTTGCCTGCAAACTATAAAGCTGTGTACAAACTCTCATTTGTGATTTGCTGCTCTTCCCACTAATAATAACAAACAACATAATTTGCTCAGCAGAGAGATGTACCTCAGGCTTTGGGGTGTAGAGATGTGGGCTGTGGTGCAGGATAAGGACATAACACTGAAAGTAGGCAGGATCTGCTGTAGGCCTGAAGCAAGCTTTGACCTGGAGATAACATGCCATGCATGTAAACCTTGTAAATGCTTTCATCTGCAGTCAGTGGCAGCATTCCAAATGACTAACGGAAAGAAAATCAAACCTTTCCTTACAAGCATCCTGTAACATAGCTTTCTCACAGCTGTGAGGAAAATGAAGAATGCTCACATGGGGACAAGCTTAGATCCCAATGCCTGCTTTAGCATGGAATTTCTATCATTAAAACTTAGATCTGCTCATACAAACGCTTACCTACACAAACTAGCATGTGAATGTCCATGATAAAAGGTTACAAAAGGTTTGAGTGGTAAATAAATGATAATTTCTGTGTATCAGTAAGAAACACAATGTAAGCTGTAATTGAACCTGATCAAAAATATAGCTGTAAAAAGAACTTCTTGAACTTTATAAGCTATAAATCCATTCCACGCATGAGGAAACGGTCTGAAATCTCTCCCGGGCTGTCTAAAGGATTTTTCATGTGGCTTTCTGTCCTTAACAATCATTCTAGTGCTTGCAAGAAGCCCACAATCTGTTCCTATTAAAGTATTAGCTATTAGCTTACTTTGCAAGATGTTAAAAGTAGAATAAGAAACATAATGCTGATAAAATTTTCAAGTTGTTTCACATCATTTAACAAAGAAAATATCTTTCTGATATTTTCTGACCAAGGAAAATAAGCTTGCTGAATGTATTTATTTCTAGCTACCTCAAAAAGGCAGTTACACAGGATCTCATAGGCGGCTTATTTTGGCCATGAGACTGCAGAAAAAGTTAGGCTGAAATTGATTTTAAAGGTATGTAGTAATGAGGAAAGAAAACTCCACAAGAAAACCCCAAGCATTAGCAGTAAGTCAATAAATGATTACTGCTAGTTCCACAGCAACCATACAGCAGCCTAAATCCAGTGTCACAGTGATTTCCACTGCTGTTGAATCTGGCTCTTAACCTTGGTAAACAGACAGAGAGGGTATTGCATAATCTATTGCGATAAAAATTTTAGTTGGGCTTTTATTTATTATTTTCAGAAAAGATAGGGATTTTTTTCCCCAAGGTTTTAATTATTTTGATAAAATAATTAAAAAAAACCAACCAAACCCAAAACCACATTAAAAAAATAATCTTCATTTGAGAAACGTTTTCCCATTTATTAATCTTTAATGCATTTGTTCCATTAAGTCATTTGCTAGGAGGCAAAGTATTTCAGGAAAAGACTGACGTGGCTCTTCCGAAGTGGCAAACAGCAGCTATGGACACCGAGAGGGGAACGCCGGTTACCAGTCCACGCAGGAAGAACGAAAAAACGGACTGAAAAGGCGGATAAACCAGCGCAGGCCCACAGGTGACGGCAAGACGTGCCAAGGCCGCCCCCTGTGCCCAAACGGCCGGCAGCTCCCAGGCCGCCCTTCTGCAGGAATCACTGCTGCCACCGCCGAGGCGCGGCACCCTTCAGTGGTGCCTGCTCGGTGCTCCCACGCGTGGCCGGGGCCGGAGGGAACTCCCGACCCGCGCTCCTGCCGCTCACGGCAGCGCCCGCAGGGTCTGGAGGCGCCTCCCGTCAGCTGGAGCCAGGCCCCGAAGCTCCTCTCGCCCGGCGGCTGGGGGAGCGCGGCTCGCGGCCCGGGCTCCGAGCGGTTGCTAGGTCCTCGGCTCGCATCCTGCAGCGTAGAGGCAGCGCGGGCCACTTCCACCGCGAGCGGCGGCGGGGGAGACCGGTGGCTCGGGAAGGCTGGCCACCGCTCCTGGTGCCGCCCGCCCCGCGGTCACCGCCCTTCTCCTCAGGAGCTCCCCCCGCACGTACCTCTGGGGGAGGGTTCACCCTCGCTGCCCCGCCTGGCCGTCCACCGGCGGTGCCCCGTTTCGGGAAATGGTTGCTCCCAGCTCCCCGCCGTAACGTCCCGCTCCTCCTCCCGCCGGTGCCCGGCTCGGATGCTGCCAACCGGGAGAGCCCCGCCGCGCCGTCCGTGAGGCGCAGCACGCTACCGGCGGGGCCCCGCGGCACCCCTGCGTCGCCTGGGAGGACTGGAGCGCCGACAGGTAACGGTTGAGGGGGATCGGTGGGGTGCTCGCCCTCTCCGCCCGAGCGTCGCCTCACTCGCAGCTTCTCGGCCCTCCGCCTTCGGCTGCCGTCGGCGAGGAGAGCCGGCGGAGCGGCTGCCCGCCGTGATTCAGCATCGCCGCCCGTAAAGGAGGTGCGGCAGGGAAGGGCAGCCCTGCCCTGCCCAGCTTGGGGGCTGCGGGAGCCGAGGAGCGGGCAGGGCGGCCGGGGGGTGTCGTGCCCAAGAGCGGTCTGTCTTCGTCTGGGGGCGATGCTCTGGTGTGGGGAGCACCCCACTGCTGCTCGGGTGTCCGGCAAAGTGCTGCCTGCAGAGCCGGCCCCCGGCCCTGCACCGGGGTGTCCTGCCTACAGCGGGCAGCCCTCGTGTCGGGAGGGGAGGATAACTGCGAGCGTGTCGCAGTGTGAGGCGTTCAGGAGCCGTTTCGAGTTTAAAGGTATTAATGTACCCTAACACCTTCCCCTTTGCCCCCCCAGTTTTGCGGGTGAAGTCCATCATCTCTGCAGGTCGTTTCGCATGTACGGCCAGGTCTCTTCGGAGCCGGTTAAGGTTAAAACGGGATCGTCTACTGGCAGTGGTACCCAGGGGAGGCTAAAATGTAGAGCAAGTTAAATCCCTGGAGATGCAAGTCAGGTATCTTCCCGTGCTTTCTGTGCTTAGTTGAAAGCTCGTGGTCTGTGGAATCTTTTGAATTTCTGCTGTTGAAACCACCCATAATTGTAAGCAAAAGAGAAAAGCAATTGATGCTGGAATTGGAATTTGAAGTAATGCTGAACTCTGTGAAAACTGACTGAAGGTCCCAAATAGTGATTGCTTTTGTGCCTTTCATACCTATTTTCAGTTTGAGTACCAAAATCAGATTTTATTCCTTCTCAAAAAAGCCTAAACTACCCAAGGACTGCCCCTCTTAATTCTTTCCTGCTTGAATTCCTCATTAATTTTATGTACCAGGGTGTTAGTACCTATCTAAATAACAGAGAAATCCTGACAGTTGTTTTCCCTATTGAGAGACTAGAAGCACTTTTCTGTGTGGGTATTGGTTATCCCCTACAAATTCCACAGAGTATCTCAAAATGTACAGTCACTTGGCATCAGCAGAAGCTTTTGTCTGTGTTTTAAGTACAAGGGTATATTCTTTAATAGAAATAGGTTATGTGTCAGTGCTACTTTGAACAAAACCTGACAAAAGCAGTTTTTATGTCAGTGAGTAAACAAGTAAAAAGAGTAAAAAGGTAAAAAAAAAAGGTAAAAAAACCCTCTTACATGGTGAGTAAATATAATCTCTATACTGACATATGGAAGTATAATTTGAAGCCAGTTTTTCTGAAGAAAAATGTTACAAAATTTCAGTAAATTATGAGCTGAATAAAAATTTCATTTTTATTTTTATTTTTTTTAGAAAAACACCCTGTCTATATTTCCGATGGTTGGATACATTCTGCATGCTTCCAAAGGGAGCTGCCCACCAGTTTGGGAGCGTTAGAAGAGTTCAGGAGACCGTGCCTATCAGCAGTTATTAGGTAATTATTCCAGTAATCTAGCAATCATTTTAGTAATCTGAGGCTCAGGTTTGCAATCAAATCAGGGTTTGTTCCCACGCTTTTCCAAAGCCGACACTGTTAAATTAGCAGTGTAGATTATGCTGTGGACAGGTCTGAAGGTCTGGGAAATGAATTAGTCAACAAGCAGTTAAGACACTAAACCATCTTGCAATCTTGTCTATAGTTAGGATCCTGTTTTTCTAAGATCTATATGCTGCCGTATGTTGATAATGAAAGCCATAAATATATTCTTGAAGGTGAAATGTGGCAGAGTAATGCTGAGTGCTGATTGTGCTTGCTCTAAATTGTCAGCATCATGGAAGACTGAAGTATGATTTATTGATTTGAATCTCCATCTGTGGATATGTGTTATAAGTTTTAAAAATCTCTCTAGGATACATATGGCAAATGAGTCATTTCTTGAATTTCCTGAATTTCCACATCTTCTAATGTTCTGGGGTTTTTTATTTACTTTTTTTTCTCTTTGCTATGCTTTAATGTGGTATTAAGGAGTATTTTTGCTTTTAATAGATACTTGCAGATATCTCATACAAATTGAGGACACAGTTTTAAAATGGAAATCCTTAGAAAACCAAGACAATTTAGATGAGAAAATTTAGAGTATTATTACTGCCTTGGAGTGTTGTGACTTTTTGGCCAATCCTAAATCATGAAGACACTGAATTGTATAGACAGGCTTTGTATCAGTCCCTGAAGAAAAAGATGAATACTTGTCAGTCTTTTACTTTGTGATGAGGTATTTCCATCATCTGGAGCTGACACAGTGACTCTCTAATGAGAGGGGGGAGGGAATAGTTGTATTTTCCTAAAAGAGGGCTAGAGCCTGTATGAAGATAGTGGGAGTTCCTTTTATTGTGAAGGATGTATATAAACTGTCAAAGTTAAGAAAATTGGTTGTAAATACCATAGTATACATTGGAGGATATTAGCTGGATTTTGTTTTTCCCTTGTGAGCTTTAGGTTGTTTAGCCTTAGATTCACTTTTATTTTCTACACGCCTAGGAAGTTAACTGGTGCTGTTTGACTTCTGGCAGTAGGATTCAAATGGCCCTTCTTAAGCACAAGGAAGCTCTTTAGAGCTCCATTAATGCTTATCTAAAACCAGAATGGTACTTTGCAACTACTCCTTTCACAGACATTATGAGCTTTCTCTAAAGTTTACTGGAACCAATGAACCTTTTAAACATTAATATTTAAAATACTAATGTATTTTAATTTCATAATGGAATTCGTTGATGCCTACTACACTGATGGCTAAGAAAATAATTTGTAATTGAGAATGGATATGGAATTAAAAATATTGTCAATCTCTAAATCTGTTGGGTATTAGAGCAAATCCTGTTCCACAGTAGCATCCATCTTGGAGCCAGAGGCTCTTCCAGACCAGGAGGTTCCACAGTGCCTCTGTCTACTGGATGCTCTTCTTCCTGGTGGTAGATGTGGGAAATGACAGATTCTGCAGAGGTTTCTGTCTTACCTTTTTGCTTGTTCCCAATGCTCTTTCTAGCCTTCTCTCTTAAATGTTCATACAGTTGTACAAACTCGTTTTGAAATACTACCTCAGTAATTTATACTCATTTATCAGCATTTTTGCTCTTGTCTTGAATTTCATAGGCAAGGAAACAAGGTCTAACATTACAGAATAAATTTTTGGCTTTGTGTCTTAAAGGACTAAACACAGGCATCATGGTTCTTGCCTTCAATATCAGTTTTAATCAGAACACAGGATCTCCCAAATGAAGACCTATGCATACAGTTATCATGTTTCTTCTCCCAGTGTTAAAAATAGAAGTTGGAATAGTTCTGAATGTTAAAAAATAGGTATTCATTTAAAAAATATCTTTTCTTCAAAGGCAATATTTAGGGAATATAATCATGTGGGATTCTTCTCTGGGGACACAAAACCAGTGCTGCTTTATGGAAAGCCCAAATTAACAATAATAATGAAAGAAATAAAAAGGGAACAACATTATGATTTAGGACTCATTTTTCACTTTCCTTTTTGTGGAATGAGAGGCATGCCAATTCCTACTTACGCTTGTATTTGGTTTTGGAAGGATTCCAAATTCAAGTATAGTATGCACCACTGCTCAAATGCACCTTAGGTGGCTACATTACTGTTAATTGATAGAAAAAAATGATTGCCTAAAAGGATGAAAGTGCTTGATGCAGCAGTTCAGAAGCCCCTTCTGGCCAGCGGGAGAAAAGGAGTATTAACTCTGAATAAGACATAAAGAAAGAAGAAAGACTAAATCTGCTTTTCATATATAATAAATGCCACAGGAAGAATTGAGTGGAGCGTGGGCTTCACAGTTAGGTACAGCAATGTGTTGACAAGTTTATTTTCATCCTTGCTTAGTAGCAAAATGCTAAATATATTCTTCTTTGGTTACATTAAAGTATGTTTCCTTCCAACTTTGTCCTTGGGTTGACATGTGTTTGTTTTATTTTTAGTGCTTGAAAACCAGCACAGTACTATCTCTGTAGGGTGCAGTGGAAGTACTGGAGTACAGCATGAAAAAATGAAATCAGATGCTTAATACTGAATTCATGCAGGTGAAGAAGCACAGACCTAGATGTTGTTTATGAGCACAAAAAAGAGTGGACTGACAGGGCAGAAGACTGTGAGATTTGATGGGGAAATTGCTTGCTCTGAATGGACTTTCCTTGAGAAATATAGAACTATGTGATGGAAGTCTGCATTTTCTTTGTTTTTGTGGGTGGTTGTTGTGTTTCCTGTTCCATAAACTTGAAATTTCTGTGAATTTGTTACATTGTTTTAATCTTTCAAGCTTATCTTGGGGGGGGGGGGGTGGGAGAAATGTGCTAAAACACTTCGTATGAATTATTGATGGAATTGATCTGAGAGATGTGCAATTTATTCACTCAGGAAAAAAACACCCTCTTTTACTGCCTTTTATTTCATGTGGCTTTTTAAAGGGATATAATATTATCCTCTTATCTTTATGTCAACTTGAAGTCTTTGAAAGACTATAAATTACTAGTGAGCATTAACATTAAGTTGAATAAAATAATTTTTTGCTTAAAAATGAACATGAGTGATGTGAGAACTGACTTTGGTACATTTTGTACCATTTAAAATATGGAAAATAGAAGCATTTACTGAAAAGAATGTTTCTGGGGATGGAGAGGACAGTTTCAGTAAGTAAAATGAAGAGTGACTGCACAATGAAATAGACCCAGAGTGGCATCCACAAGTGAAGAAATAAAAGAAAAGTAAAGGAACAGTGCAGAATTAGCTTGAAATTTTGGACACCCGCTTAGAATAATGCAGTTAATGACCCCAAGCAGTTGCTTAAAAAAGTCTATTTATTAGTTTCCTCTGTTGCCTCTAGATACGAAGAGAAAAGGAAAGACATTGTGGCCTTTCTGCCTAAAGCAACACTCAGGAATACAAACATATATAAGAAGCAAGTCTTTGATTTTCTGAGAAAATGAAATAAAATTTGTAAGAAATTAAAATGAAGATATGTTTTTGTCAGTGGGTGTTTGCCAATGTCTGAGGCAGATAGTCAGCATGTCATTTAGTTCATTGATAACTAAAAAAGAAGTAACTGTCAGTTATGGGACATGCATGCAGAATGCTCTTCCAGCTGTTTGAGGATAATAGGTTAATGGTCCAGTTCAGGCTGACTCTCTGCAACAGCTGGATGTAAGAAAATTGGAACTGAGAGAGTATGAGGAGCCATGGGGAAAAGTCGTCTGTGGGAAGGTACTTCAGGATAGATGCCCACATTTCACTCCCAGTTCTGTGCTTCCACAGGCAACTGTGTCTGAGCTGGTTGCACTGAATTTTCTTCTATAATGCCCACCCTGTTTCAAAGTCCTTGAATTAATATTTTCTTCAATTTCAGAAGTTGTACCTGCCTGATCATGGAGTAGAGGCATTCATCCTTGGTGGTTTTTATTTGTTATTTATTTTAAGTAGTGCGAGTCATGCTGAGCAACTTGGGATTCATCTTGCCAGGGTTTATATGTCTAAAATCTAGATACCTGCAGCTGCCTACAGTGATTATATGTAGGCTGTCTGTGAAGGCAGACCAGAGAAACTAGCTCAAAAATCTGAATTTTAAGGGTCTACATTTGTACAGATGAATCCATTGTTGTGTCTTTATATTCGAGGAATGAATGTGCTTGCAACGTCATCTGTGGGATTTCATTGTACTGATCTGTGTGAAAGGGAGAGCAGTACTTCATATGAACTGGGGAAAATGGCAACAAACTGTTGACAGAGCTGTTGAATTCTCAGAACCTTAGTTCTTTGTGCTTATGGTGCACATGTGCACATCTGTTTGATTTTCTGTTTCGTTTGAATGGATAAGCAGGAGAGACATTATCTGTGGTTCAGAGAAATCTACTCTTACAATCCATAAACTAAGGTTGAGGAAGTAAGGAAATGACTTTTAAGTATGTTATAGTCTGCACATTCAGCTCCCACCTTCATTCTACCTGTATATGATTCTAGAAGGTTAATGTGAATATATCCTTCTCCATATTACTAGAATCTGACTCTCCACAATACTTTGTAGAACAGGTGTGACAGTAGTGGTGTAGTTGGTCTTACCTGGGAATGCAGTCGGCCTGACTGCTATAAAACTGACATAATGGAGTGCAGTTGATTTGTCCAGAGTTTTCTTCTTTGTTGTCCCTGCCCGCTTTCTTTTTTCTGTGAGGAGAAATAACCCATTTGAACAAAATAATTTCCCAAATCTTTTATTATCTGATGGCATTCATGATCCATAGTCCACCCTTATTAAAATGGTCTGAGCTGTCAAGTCAGACCTATCTTTTCTGCACAAGGAAGAAAAATAGTATGACAAAGAAAAGTCATGTGAAATGATGTCAGAAAAAAATTCTCATTGATGTAAATTGGCCAAATTTAAGAGATGTGAATGGTTTCAGAATACTACGGAAATTGTTATCCCAGGAAAGGAAGT